TATTTAAAATGCAAGCTGATTTGTCACATAATCAAATATATCCATCCATTCACCATACTTGTATTTGAAAAAAAATATATTAATGAAATGAATAGACAGTATCAAATAACAATTTAGGTCCTAGTGTTACCCTTTGATGTAAAAGAGAATCAAGGTATTATTTTTCAATGTATTCCTTTGTATTATTTTCCTTTGTGAAAAAGGGTGAAAGAAATATACATAAAGAAGTAAAGGAAATTGTATTATGACTTTATTATCATAAAGTATTGCTTTCCTTTGCAAAATGCAGAAGCATTATATGATTTTTCTAAGGATAACTTGAGGTAAAAAATTCAAAGGAAAAAAGGAAGTTTTAAGAATCACTAATATGTAAATGTAGTATATAGAATATATTCATTATATATATATATATATATATATATATATATATATATATATATATATATATATATATATATATATATATATATGTATATAATTTTTTTCTCTTTTTCTTTTTTCTCTTTTTTTTTCTTTCTTTTTTTTCTTGCAGTAAAACTTATATCATGAAAAAACCCAAAAGGGAAAAAATTACTATGAGTCAACTAATAACACAAATCAATCTGAATCACGAATGTAGAGTAACATAAATGGAATGTAAGAATAAAAAGAAAAACCTGGTAAAACAGGGCAGTAAATAAATAACTGACAAATATGCAATCAATCTTTTGCCAGTATTAAACCAAGAAGCTTTTGCAGGAAATTAATATCTAGATTTTGCCTCGGGAAAGATAAAATGTGGTACAGTATTTACCATTTTCAGCGTGCCCACACTGGACAAGCTATTAAAAATCACTAAAAAAAGAAAAGAAAAAGAGAGAAATATCAGATCAGAATGATATGAGCCAACATAGTTGTATATTGAATTTTTTTTCCATTCTATATGCACATAAATCTCTTAGGTTTGCTGTTCCTAACGGGTTAAATTTGCTTCACTGAGACACAGCTATGAAGAAGTAAGGAAAAAGGGTGTGTAAGTACAATATCTGTTATCCTTTATTTCCTTTCAGTTTCAGCTTTAATTACTAATCGTATTAAAACAACCATTGCAAATATACCATAAGAAAGTATCTGAAGAAAAAAAGTCATTCAGAAACTACTTTTCTTTAGTGCATCATTGTTCATAATATTACTGTGTTTTCAAATAAGTTCCAATATGTGTAATAGCATTTTTGATGAAAGTGCACAAAACTATAGAGAACATTTCTTTCATTATAGAGCTCTGTATATCAATTTAATATTATGTATAATTAAGGTAATAAGAGACACATAGTTTTGTTATTTTATTAAAAATAAACAAATATCAAAGTGATCACAATTTTTTACATTTTCACTTTTGTTTTCTCTTTTTGCAGATAACAATGGACTCCATGGATATAATCATGAAATTTTATAGTTAAAGATGACACTGCACTATACATGCAATATACACATAATCATTGAGAGATTTAAGTATCAATATCAGTATACAGAAATATAGTGTCATGAAATATTTTAATATTATAATATAATAATATACAAAAATTGTAAGACACAAAAGGAATCCAATGTTATCTAACAAAAAATAAATAAAACTGATGCTTAATATTTGCACTTGTGTGACTACCTTACAAGTGAGAGCTCAATACATAATTTACTTGATAAATATGTAAATGAATAAAACCTGTGTTTCTAATTAATATTTTTCATATGAATAAACAATCAATCAAAGTAGAATAAATCTCCTGCCCTGAGAAATAGCCTAAATGCATAATTAAGCAACAACCAAGTTTGCCCTTATTATCAAATCATTATCACAGACAAGTGCAGAGTATTTATTTATTTTTTTACTTTTTACATACAACCGCTTAAAAAATGTTTTCCTCTTTCGTTAAATAATCTGAAATTACAGACGTGCAGGCGAGCCCACAGCAAGCTTTTTCTTTTCTTTCTTTTTCAGAAAGACCAGCAGCAAATTAAGACGTCTAGTTACATTATCTAATAATTCTTCATTGCCTGAAGAAAAATACCTTTTTTTTTAATTTCATCTGATGAAAAGTCGAGTTTACTGTTGTTGCATGAAATTAATTTATTCATGCTTATTTACATTTTCTTCTTCAACATTATCTTGTACAATACTGTGACACATCTCCCTTGCACGTCATCACAATGCATTAACATTTTTACCATTATTATCGTTTTTTTTTTTTTTATAATAACGTGAATCACATTTAATAGATACAGCTTAATCATACCTGTGACTACAGCCCCTTGCATTCCCCCTTTTCTGGGAATGTGCAAGGGAAGTCTATTGTACATAGTTTGGCAACAGTTAAAACGTGATTTTTCATAAACATTCTCGTTGTCATCGTCATGTTAACCTCATAATATAAGGTACGTAGAAAAATGGCTAGAGGTTATCTGCTACAGGTGAAGAAGGTATGTGGCCTGACTTTTTTCAGATAAACATGCAGCCCTATAT